TTGACAAGTGGCTCCTGAATTGTGCCCAGCCAGACTGCGGCACCAGACACTGAAGATAAAAGGATGGGATAAAACATATCATTCACATGGATCTCAAAAACAACCAAAGGTTTCTATCATATCAGGTAAAGTGGACTTCAAGCTGGATATGATTAATTTCACTGTTGTCTGATCTTCCCTGGTGTAACTGTTACATATCTGATGTTTCCATTCTCCAGCCACTGAATATAGATGTTATTTTTTTCTAATTTCCAAATAACACTGCTTTGAGCAAGATGATTGTAGGTTTGAGGGCAGCCCCAGAATTCAGAGATATCCTTAACAACTGATCAAGAACATGTCTCAAAATTCAAAAGAAAAAAGAACTAGGGATGTAGCTCAGTGTCAAAGTACCCCAGGGTTCAACCCCCTAGTACCAAAACAATAAAATGAAATAATCAACTTAGACTGTGTGGCATTTACCCTACTAAGGAAACTTCATCAGTCCCTTCCAAAATTATGTGGCCAAAGAGAAATCAGGCTGCTCTGATTTGAAAAGTGCACCTAGGCATATCACAGGGCTAGAATGATAAGGAGTTGCTGGGAACTAAGGGACCAGGGGAGAGGGAGTGGTTATGGATACCCAATTCAGGAGAATGTTCTGGAACTACATAGTGGTGGTAAGTGCAGAGTTTTGAGAACGTACTTAATGACAATAAACTGAATCTTTTAAAAATTAATAAAATCTTGGGGCTGGGGCTGGGGCTGGGGCTGTAGCTTAGCATTAGAGCACTTGCCTCACACATGTGAGGCACTGGGTTCGGTTCTCAGCACCACATATAAATAATTGAATAAAACAAAGGTCCATCAATAACTAAAAATTTTTTTTTAAAAAATATGAATAAAAGTTTTAATTTTAAAAGAAAGCAATTTTAACAAAAAATAGCAGCGGAGGGTAATGGGAACTCTGGGGTGGGAACAGTTGTAAAGGTGTGTACTAATGGCTTTGCTGGCTGAGGTAATTAAGAGTACTGGGTGACTTTAGTAAGACTTTCTCATCACTGAATAGAGCTTCCAAAAAAAAAAAAAACCCTAAATAAAAAGCTATAGAAATAAAAAAATACAAAATTCAGAATTAATAGACATATATAAAATCTTTCATCCATCAATGATTGAATATACTTTTTTTTTCTCAGCAGCACAGATTATTTGTAAAATAGACCATCTCTAAATCCACAAAACAATGCTTAGCAAATACAAAAAGTAGAGATAATACCTGGCATTCTATCAGATCATAATGCAACAAAATTAGAAATCAATGATAAAATAGAAATTAGTCAAACATTTGGAGAATAAATATTATGCTATTGAATGACCAATGGACGAGAGAAGAAATCAGGGGTGAAATAAAGACATACTTCAAGGTAAATGAGATAGTGAAAAAACATATCAAATCTCTGGGACTCTATGAAGGTGATTCTAAGAAAAAAAGATTCATTGCAATGAGTTCATTTATTAATGGAATATAGAGTCACCAAATGACCTAAGAATACATCTCAAAGCCTTAGAAAAAGAAGAACAAAACAACACCAAAAGCAGAAGACAGAAAATAATTTAAATCAGAGCCTGACACCCCAGGAGGCTGATGCCAGGATTGTCTGGATGTGGATAGTGAGGGTAAGAGGGAGTGGAAACGGGGACACTAAACCAGGCTTCTCCCTGCTGCACTTCACTTCTGACCTGGGTGGACCCCTCCCCTAGGCACCCTTCAATACCTGCAGTCAGCACGTAGGGTCCTGGCCACCATTCTTTAGTGCCCAATAGTGAGCAGCAAGAAGACACTGGATTTTAGCAATCAGTCAACTCCAGTCACACCTCCTCAATATCCAAGGGGGATTGGTTGCAGAACCCCCACATTGAACACCCAAATCACTGATGCTCTACTCCCTGAAAAAAATTGTGTAGAATTTGCATGTAGCATCCACAATCTTCCTTCCACATACTTTAAGTTGTCCTCACATTACGTATGATGCAAATGCTTTGTAATGGTGGTCAAAGTGTATTCTTACGGAATAGTGACCAAAAAAAAAAAAAAAAAAAAGCTTTCTTGGTTTCACTTCACAGAGCAGCCAGGAAAGCAACCTCTATCCCACCGCCTTAAAAACACATGTTTTAGCTCAGGCTTTGGCTCATTCTCACTGGGTTGGTTCTTTCTCACCAGCATCTCATGAATATTCCACTAAGTGTTGCAATGTTTTTCTCACTGTTTGTATAACATAAATAAATAAATAAATAAAAACATGCACAACAAATTGGGAATTGTCATTATTTTAAAATGGCAGGATCTAGCAGGTGCTGTCTTCTTTTCTCATGGTGGTCTGTGGGTGCCATTATGGACAGTGACAATGCTATGGTTTGGGTAAGTGCTCCCAAGGCCCAAGTGTTGTCACCATTTCAATCTTGTCACCAGACTGAGGTGCTATCATGACATGGTGGTACTACTAAGTGGGGGTATTAAGTGGAAAACACTGAGGTCACCAGGAGCAGTCTACTGAAGGGAATACTGTGACCCCATCTCTTTTCTTTCTTTTTTGCTTCCTGGACTGGCAACGTTAGAGGCTTCCTCTGCCACTTACTCCTGCCACGATGTACTACAAAAATCCATAAGGTCAACTGACCACGTACTGAAACCTTTGAAATCATGAACCAAAAAAACCCTTTACTCTTGTTAAGCTGATTTTATTTGTTAGAGTAATGAAAAGCTGACTAACAAGGCCAATAACACCAAGGGCTCAGCAGATGACAGGGGAAAAAAGAAAAACATAAAAAAAAAAACCCAACAAATTGGGTCTTATCACACTCACTTTTCTGCATCTTTGGATGTCCCTCCAGGGTGTGGAATCCCTCCAATGCAGCTGGACAGCTTTAATCCATTCCTCTCCACTGGCTGATCTCAATGTTAATAATGTGCAACATGAACATCACCTAAATATTCCCTGTTGATTAAAGAACAATTTGCTAGCAGTTTTGACACAATGTTCCATAAACACCCTGGAAATTTCTGATGTTTCTGATGTTTCTATTTCTATGTAAGGTTTCCTAGGAATATTTGCATTTTTAATTTTCCTGGATGCTCTCAGATGCTTTCCACCCAGGCTGCTCCTGCCAGCATGTCTTAGGTGCAGGCTGCATGTAGGTCCAGTCAGCACAGAGCACAACTTCAGTTCTTCCATTGCAAAAAGGTTTCTTCCCCCCACCTCTCTCTCTCCCATACTTCTACAATGTTAGTATTTCTGGATTTAAAGAGTAGGGGAAAATCTAATTCCAACTGAGGCAGCATCTTCTCCTTGAATCACTGTGTGAACTCAAGCCAGACCTTTCCCTGTTTGGGAACATACATTCCTGTCTGATCAGGAGACAGGGCTGGGGATGCCACACATGTTTTTGAGGATCTGGTGCTTTCACCTGGTTCCCATTCAAGCCCACATCTAATAGTCACCGCACCTCACATTTGCTTTGGGGATCCACCCCTCCCCAACATCCATGTGGCTAAGAGAAGCTGATTACAATTTCTGGTATTGAGATGGGACAGGTAGGCTTTAACACTTCAGGGAGCCCTGGGCATGTGTCAGGTGGCATTATTTCCATGAACATGCCACTTGAAGCATACACAGATGATGACACAAAACAGGCTGCACCAAGCAGGGTCCACCTACATCCAACCTGGGAAGACAGTAACATGAGACCCCAAAGCACACTCTGCCAAACCCCACCCAGCCTTTGAACTATGGAAGGGGAAGAATTTAAGTTTTGGGGTTTCCCTAGTTATCCAGGGATTCGCTTACTCTGGGCCATTCCAAAGATAGCAAGGAGGATAGCTCTGAATGTAGCTCAGTAGTAAAGTGCTTCCTGGCATATAGGTAAGGCCCTTGGTTTGATCAAAGCACAGCCAAAACACAAACAGAAAACCATCTAAGATAGCAAGGGGAGACCAGGGATGGGGCCCTATATCCACCAGCCTGGGTAGTTTTGACAAGGACAAGCTCCCTGGAAGCAGGGCTACAGGAGAGAAAGCCTCACTTTCCTTTCCCACATACATTGGAGCTTGGAGTAGGTCATCACAAGGATCCTGCAGGCTCAGCAATCTCAGTTGTCCCTGGTGTGAAACTGCACTCTGGATTTTGGATTTTCTTTCCACTGGAGGGTACAGGATTATGAACCACTCATGCTCAGAAGGGGGGATGACCACCTTTTTGGAGCCTCAGGGTCTCATGTGGAACTGGTACCAGAGTGCTTGCCCTGGCTGTGGTGAAAAGGCTTTGGAGGTCAAGGGACTCCAGAGCCATTGTGGCCAGCATGGTAAAGAGAAGGTCTCTTTAATGCCCCTGGATCCTTCATGCCTGATCAATTATTGATAGATTCAAAGTTGGAAACAAGTTGTCCAGAGAGGATGTAGGAGGGCAGTCATTGTGCTGGAGGAAGCCCAGGAGGAGAGAAGGGGAGGATGGACCCTGCTGGGGGCACATTTGGGGTTTGACAGACAGGCTCTACAGTGATGCAAAACTATTTGAAGAATTAACAGAAATAGAGCAGATGAAACAACATCTCATTGTATTCTCACAGGTTTTTTTTTTTTGGGGGATCAGAAATGCAGGAAGCCTCAGCCAGGTCTCTGCCATGTTTCTCATGAGGCTGGGGCTCAGTTATGGTAAGGTCTGGGTCAGTTATGAGTCACAGGGTTATCACATTAAGTAATTTCCTTCAAATCCTCGTTTTCTGAGGTTTATTATCATGGACAGTTTTTGAATTTCATTAAATACTTGTTCTGCAACTCTAAGAATGATTCTTCTCATTCTGCTAATGAGATTGAATTCTATGCATTGATTTAAAAAATTTCCTTAACTTGTGGTGAAATGCATATAACATTAAATTTTGTCACTTGGGGCTGGGGTTGTGGCTCAGCAGTGGAGTATTCGCCGGGCACACGTGAGGCCATGGGTTCAATCCTCAGCACCACAAATCAATAAATAAGTAAAGGTATTGTGTCAACTAAAAAATATTAAAAAAAAATTTGTCACTTAACCATTATTTTGACACAATTCATTAATGACATTCATACAAACAGAAACCTTATCAGAAAGGTCAGCACAATTCCTTTCTGTAGGCATGGCTGCACTCCACCTGCTGGTCCCAGAATAGCCCCACCAATTGAGAAATCCACCATGGAAGGGCAGACCCCAGTATTCAGCCTCTTCCCTGGTTCCTTGGCTCTACATCAAAACCTGTGGGTCACAGCAAAACGTCCAAAGAGAGAAGTTATAGCAATAAACCCCCACATCAAAACAGAAAAAGATCTCCAAAAGCTAATGATGCACCTCAAAAAAGTAGAAAAATAAAAACAAACTAAGCCCAAAGTTGATTTAAGCAGGTAAATATTGAAAATCTTAGGAAAAATCAATGAATTAGGACTATAGAAACAATAGAAAAGATCAACAAAACTAAGAGTGTATGTTTAGAAACACAAAAAAAATCAGCAAACATTTAGCTAGACAAAGGGAAAAAGGGAAGATTCAAATAAGTAAAATTAGAAATGAAAAAGAGGTCACTGCAACTGACACAACAGAAATATAGGGAATCATAAGAAGCTACTATGAAGACCAGCAAGTTTGATAATCTAGAAGGTAAGGATACATAATCTGACACATGCATTCTACCAAAAAATGGAATTATGAAGAAATGGAAAACTTTAGCCCAATAGTAAGTAAAGATGCTGAATCATCAATGAAGAATCTCCTAGAAAAGAAGGATGTGATGGCTTCTGTGATGAATTATATCAAACAGTAAAAGAAGAATTAAGAGCTGGCCAGTAGTGAGCGCTTGCCTAGCATGTGTGAGACACTGGTTTCGATTCTCAGCCACCACTTATAAATAAAAGTTCATCAACAACTAAAATAAAAGACATATGGATTGTTTCTAGTTGATGATTGTGATAAATAAAGCTGCTATGAACATTCAAGAACATATTTTTGTGTCAACATAACCCTTCATTTCTCTGAGACAGATGTCAGTAATATACCTACTGGGATGTACAGTGGTGCATGATTCATTTACTTTTTCCCAAATAGCTCATTTGTTTTAGATAGAAAACTTGATTTTGACAATAAACATTATATATTAATAAGATATCATTCTATTGACTTACTTTTTAAATTATTAAGATTTACACATAATCAAATCTAGCTATCAACAGAGTGGTAGTTAATAAATATGGTTCTAGATTATGGTGTTTCAATTTAGGTATATCAATTGATGTTCACGTGTTGAGCCATCCCCATGATCCTAGGATATACATCTTATTGATTTTATTTCTCCAGTAAAATACAAAAACAGGGCTGGGGTTGTAGCTCAGTGGCAGAGCATTGCCTCGCATGCATGAGGCCCTGCGTTCAATCTTCAGCACCACATGAAAATAAACAAATAAAAATGAAGATATTAAAAAAGATTTAAAAGCCTTAAATAATTAAAAAAACTGCATATATGTAGTTTAAGTCCTTTATAGTGTTCTTGCCATCTTCCCTGCCTTCCTGACTAAATGGATACGGATTCAAAGTTCTTGCTCTCCCCAACTCAGCTCCAATAGTGCACTACAATGACAGCAGAACTCAAGAAAGCACGATACCTATGATCATATTGTATTACAGAGAATACACATCAGGATCAGTTCAAAAAAGAGACTAAAGAGAGGTCCTAGACATTCTCAAAGACATACCCTGCATGTCTTGAGGATGTGTCACTCTCCTGGCAAACTGAGGTGCATATCCAGCCAGGGAAGCTCTCCAGGCCTTGGTTTTTACTGGGGGCTGTATCACTTGTTCTGACTATTTCAGCACTCTGAGCATTTACACCTACCACTAGGAACACAAAGACCAGTCTACATCGTGTTTCTATTCCTGCCACAACACACATTAGTATCCCAGCTGTGGGTATGGCCTTCTCCTCTGGGAATCTACCCCATATCTAGTGGCACTTTCTTCCCTCCTTCACAGAACAATTCTTAATGGTACCTTGAACCTCACAGGATGCACCTCTGCATTGTTACAGTCCCCTACCCAGGTGGCCAACTCAAGCAAGCAGACTGGGAAACTTACTTGTCAATTTGAATCATGTCTTAATCCTGGAAGGAAGTTCTTCTGGTGGACAATGGCATGTCCTACTTCAATGCACCTCTCACATTCCCCTAGTGACTTCCACATAGTTGCGCCCCGTAGAGGCATTCCTTAATAGGCTAGTTTTCCTTTGCCCATGTGCCTTACCATGACTATAGGCCAGTGGCCCTAATTCCCGAGTCAGGAAAAATCCAAATATAGGACAGATGGCATATATTTCAGCCCACAAAGTTGATTTGCTTTTACTTTTTCTTGATTACACTGCTTGCTTGGAGCAGGCACGCAAACCAACCAGCTTTTTGCTTTTCAGTCAAAAGCTGTTGCTAGAACAGAGTCTAAGTGGGGATAGAATCCAGAAGCTCTAAGGAAAAGACAAAACTGCGCGTGAATATGTCAAGTTAACTCTGCATCCCCTGTAGCATGTTTTTTGCACAAGCCTTTTCATTTATTATCAGCCTCTGGGCACTTCACTCCCCATTAGAAAACTTCTCCAACATCACCCAAGACATTATGCATATTTTGGTTTCATATTTGTGTCCTTCAGTTACAGGGCATTTTCAACCAGTAGCAAGGTAGTAATTGCCCTCCCAATGAAAACTCTCTTGGTCTCAGCAGTCTTCACTGGGAGGTGCTGACAGGTTTTTGCACAAGGCCCAGTTGACACTTTAACCAGTGTTATTTTATAGAGGATCTGTCCTTTCCAGCGCTCCAGCTTCTATCCTATGCTGTTTGAATTCTATTTCCTTGTGGACTCAAGCAATCTTCCCGCTCTCATTTAGAATGTCTAGTTAATAATGCAGACTTACCTGCTTCTGCTGTATAACACTAGATAGGGGAAACATTCCCCAGTCAAACAGTATCCATCTCCCTAAAACCCTCAGAGGAATGAGACACCATCTAATCATTAAGTCTTTTTAAAATTTGCTTTCATCCACATGTTCCCCTTAATTCTATCAAGTCCTGCAGATTTATATCCTATCTCCTGCCCCAGTTAGGCCCTCCCCATGGTGCATGAGGATCTTTGTGAAGGAGTCCCAGAATTATCTCTTCTCAACTCTTCTGACCATTTTCACCCCATCATGTGCACAAGAGACGCTGGCTCTTCCATTAGGCCTTGTGCTGATCAGATGTCAGCTACTGTCTCAGACACTTATGGTCAGGTTTCCTACATTCTTATGAACTAGGAGGGACAAAGTAGATTCTTTCCTGGGACAATTTGAGGGATCTAGTAGGAGACAACACAACTTCTGGGAGTCCTGTATTAAGCTTTGATTTGACTCCATCAACATCTGTCATCCCATTTCTTAAGAACCAAATAAAGACTTCACCCTGATGAAATGAGGCCCTTGACTCTCTCCTGAGTCCTTGCTTATTCTCTTGGGAATTTGCCTTCTTCTCTATGTGTAGTTTCAGTGTAGATTTCCCCCCTGGGAAGAACCTAAGATTTGCTAGTAAAAAAACAAAAACATGCCCACTGTGGGCATCTTTACCAAAACCCCTCCTTGGTCAGGTCCCTCAGATGAAAGGCTGGAGTTTCCATAGGCCACCATCTAAGCTTGGTCCATCCCTTACTTCCATTTAAGACAACAATTAACAATAAAAAAGCCTTGGATATTTAATGATTTCTTGCTCCTTTGCATAGAAGGATTTATAGTGACCAACTGTGAACATTTAATAAGATTATAACTCACCAGCTCAGAACCCTCAAGCACAAAATAATAAATAAGAAACTAAGTAGCTAGAACTTTGATCCTACTTACACTCACATGAAGTGAGTTTGTGTAAGTGGCAATAATATCTAAAATGGGACCAAGTTGTTATGGAAACAGAAATGTTTCCAAATTATTAAAATTTAGTTTAACAGTATGATCTAACTCATAAAACAACCACAACACAGCATAGATGGAGAGTGGAAGAAGTGGGACAAAAACAAGATCCAGGAGAATGCTCATCAGAACACCAGGTGACACACATTGTTTCTGAGCAGGCAGAACCCCCTCAGTACCTAGTGTAGGTAATTCTAAGACCCTTCAAATCCATGAACATATAATTTTTCATACAAAACTTGATGTTTTGATATACATATATACTGAAATTATCACCACAAACAAACTAATAAACTAATCTTTCAACTCAGTCACCATTTTCTTCTGAATGCGTGTGTGTGTGTGTGTGTGTGTGTGTGTGTGTTGAGAATACCCAAGATCTACTCCCTTCACAAATACCAAACAACTCAATAATATTAACTATATTCACCATGGTATACATTAGAAATCATCCATCTTATATAACCACATTATATACCTTTTAACCAACATCAACTACCCCTTTTCCCCCTCCCCCGACACCTACCGTTGACTCTCTGCTTCTATGAGTTTTGACTATTTTAGATTCCACACAGAGTGAGTTTAAAAAGTGTCTGTCTTTCTGTTGTCTGCTGATCTCACAAGCTAATCTC